TTGCAGGTTGTAATGGTTAGAACTGGTTAGAAATCGCGTTATTACTAATGCAAGTCGAATCATGTTACTTAGGCCTACCACTTTCTGTTAGAAAAGTCTCACCAGTTTTCAATTTCAGATTCCACCCCAATGCACTCAACTGGCATAATGTCAAAGGAAACAGAGGAGCTCAGGACTTTGTAATAGAGGGCACTTTCAGGTAAACGAAGGACCCAATATTCTTCTATAACCTTTCTTAATTTTAAATTTTGCTTAGTCTTGATGTTTATTCCCTTTCTGCAGGTGATACAATGTTTCTCATGTCCCTAGGATAGACCTAAACTTGTGATATGATTCTATGCGTTACCTTATTTAGGGAGCTTATATTCCTTTAATGACAAAGATCAGGGTGAACCCTTTGTCATAGGATGTTTATTCTTGATACCCGAGGAAGTATTTCTCTGTTAATTGAGCAGAATTGGATGATTAAAGGAGGCCACATTGTCTGCAGTAGTAAGATAACTAAATGTGATCTGAATCAATACTGTTCCTCCATTACCTGGTTAAGGATAACTAATCTTTGCACACAGAGCTCTTCTACGCCATGTAAGGCAAGACACTATAGTAATGTAAAAAGGAATATAAGCAAATACAAGAGCTATGTTTATCATGTTGCATTGGGTTTGCCATGGCGAGGTTTTGGTATTGGGGGGCTGCAGGGGGGGCTTCTGTGAGAAGCTTCTGGGAGCTTCCCCCATGTCCGATGGAGCCAAGGCCAGATGGCTCTGGGATGGACCCAACACTGACCAAGGCCGAGCCCATCAGTGATGGTGGCAGCACCTCTGGGATAATGTGTTTAAGAAGGGGAAAAATTTGCTGTGTGACAGCAATTGCAGCCAGAGAGAGAGGTGAGAATACATGAGAGAAACAATTCTGCAGACACCCAGGTCAGTGAAGGAGGAGGGGGAGGAGGTGCCCAGGCCCGGAGCAGAGGTTCCCCTGCAGCCCCTGGTGCAGCCCCTGGGGAGTCAGGCTGTGCCCTGCACCCAGGGAGCCCCACGGGGGAGCAGAGACCCACCTGCAGCCCGGGGAGGGCCCCAGGCCGGAGCAGGGGATGCCTGAGGGAGGCTGTGACCCCGTGGGAAGCCCACGCTGGAGCGGGCTCCTGGCAGGAGCTGTGTCCCCGTGGAGAGAGGAGCCCACGCTGGAGCAGGTTTGCTGGCAGCACTTGTGACCCCAGGGGGGACCCACGCTGGAGCAGTTTGTGAAGAGCTGCAGCCCTGTGGGAAGGACTC